CTTGTTCAGTTAGAGATCTCATTCGACATTCCGATTTTCCTTTAAGTGCTAATTTTGTTCTTCTTCTACCCATCAGGCCAGATTGGGATGAAATTGGTCGACAATTGCCTTGTGGCTACTCAAAGTGGATAGAGGATACACGGGGTATGACTTCGCAGCAAAAATTGGAACATTTGATTCATGAGATGAACACCCTCGGACGAAACTATGGTAAACCGCCGGAGATACTTTTACCCAAGGCAAGTTTACGTGCTAGCAGTTCAGATCTGAATACGGCTACGGACCCGACAAATCAGATGGAAGAGTTTGTCGAACCGATCGATCCGGGAACTTGGTGATATTAATCCACTTTTTTTCTGAAAATCGTGATTTGCTATCTAATCCCTCGTGCACAGAAGTTGAAACTGATAACCAGAATTAAAACAGAAATGCGAAGCCTATCAAGAATAATAAAATCGAACCGGCGAACTCGTTTGCCCCGCATGAATTTGATGATTTTACATCCAACTCAGTCATTCATACTCGAACGGAACGCAGTATCGATCAAATACTGACTTTCGAACGATTTATGATCTCGAACGAAATTGTTTTCTATTCAGTATCTCTCAGTCACACTGTATTTTGTCTCATCAGTGCGAGAACAGCAATATAAACGTTCCAGTTTAACTTGATTTCAATTTATTGGCGTATTGTAGTTGTTGTCGTTAAAAAGTTTGTTCTCGATATGAATTGATGACAAGACGCTAAATCAAGTTATCAATATGACTAATTTTTCGCATTTCAGGGTCTGGCCGACACGGTACCACGATTTTTGCGGTCTGAAGAAACGATATCTCAACGCACTGTACAACTACGTGATTGTTTTCTAATCACACATGAGATATGGATGAATCGGAAGTTGGAGCGTGAGAATTCCAAGGTAAACAAACAGCTTAATGTGAACGACGACGATTTTTCTGTGAAAACAATAAACAGAGATTTTACTTAACACTCCGACCCAAAAGATACTAATATCAGATAATTTGGGTCTCCGTTGCCATGGTGGATGCATATGAAACGATTTCTTCAAATGCAAAATATACATGGACGCCTAAGAATGCGCGCATGTGGTGGTTAAATCCAAAAATTATATAGGTTAAGATTGCGGGTGGGATGTAACCATCTACTCTCACGAATGTCAAGAGGCATTTCTTCTATGAATGCTTCGCTTCTATTCCTCGATCTGAAAAGAACTTTGGACTCAGTCGATCGCACGGTGCTCTGGTTCTACCTCACACCTTTTGTACGTTGACGATAAACGAGCAGACATAGCTTGGTGTGAGTTAACTACTCATTTGTTCCCGAGTTCTTTAGGAAAACGCGTACTCATTCAGGTTGCCCTGCATTCTCCTCTAAGTGTAAGATGCTGTTATGCGGCTAATTTGGTCTCACTTCCACTCCGATTTTGAAGGAGGCGATGTCAAATTTTGTTACTCGCAATACTACATTTAGGCAGGCAAAAGAAGACCGGGTGAAATGTGTCTCGCATGCAGAAGGCTTACAAGACATTTGCCAAATCGGGATATCTGTGAGGTCATAGTATCATCCAACTTTCCTTGAAGGGTCGAGTACACGATGCAGTAATCCGGACAGTTCCACAGTCCCGCGTTACCACGTGTAGCAGGTTCACAGTTTTCAAACTGGACTGTTCACTGAACAGATGTCTTTTTGTAAAAACCGGTTCCAAGTGCATTTGTAAAATTCAGGAAGTTCCCATAAATAAGCTATGGGTTTTCATTTTTTATTAATCTCAACCTTATTGCTACTCTAACGTCCTGATTTTTCATGTTGAAACTCAATAACCCTGTCACTGTATTGCGACTTATATGAATTTGCTAAACGGTGAAAATCGTGAGCACATTATTTGTATTATTCGCAAATCGTATTCAAATTCTACATAGCACATCGAGATGGACTCAGCGATTTTCTCTAGTCGTTGATATAAAAACATTTTCCGGGTATACGCAGAACCGTGTGCAAATGCGCATTTATCGGCTTGCCCATCAGTGTCCTTTCACAGCAACTATCCTTCCAGATAGCTTGGTGCGCGTGACCGCAACCTTAAATATGTGGCGATTTAAGGATCGAAAGATTACACGCAATCCGGACGCACGTGTATTTGAGTTGCAAACACGGCACGACGGCACAATTGGCTTCGATTCAAACGATTTCTCTCTGATTTGTTTCCGTTTAGGAGACAGCGCACGCGCGAAGGAAATCGCTATTTCGTAGACGAATGTCCCAGGTAGCTTTGCAGATCAGATCCTCTTTATGTGTTACACTACACCAGTCATAGCAAACATATACCGCGATTCCCGTTGCACTTTGCACCAGTGTCCTTGCACTTTTTGTTGTTGTGCTACAATCACTCGGTCGTGGAAGGCAGATCATCCTTTCTGGCTGCCCGATCCATCATCCCGGGCATTTCACATTTTGTTGTTGGTCACGATCAGTGAAGATTGTTTCACCAAAAAGCACTATTTGTTTATGATTGTATGGCAACATTTGTTCAGTTAACCACACTCACTTGTCCGGTTTGCATGTTTTGGTGTACCAGATAGATTACTGATGCATCCTTAGGAAACAATTGAAAGCTTGTAAAACATTCCTTCGCCTTCACCTTATTTATCAAAGCAAGAAAATTTGGGAACGTAAGGTTTTTCGGTTAGGTGGTAGATACTTTTAGTGGATTACTTTCCGGAACTTATGATGCTTCTTGAATTATTTCGAGAAGTTTCACGAGACACAACACAACAGCGGTTCAAAAGCATATAGACATTCGACCACAAGAGCCAGAAGATAGTCTTCGAAATACACAACACCTCAGCCTCGCTTGATCCAAACCAGAAAGGCATATGTGAGCCCCTTTTTCTTTCTGTTGGCATTCAAAATGCAATACCGGTCAATTCGATCGGTCTTGGAAATCTGCTTTGCACACAAACGTTAGCTTAACATCTAAATGCCTTTCTGCGCTTTATAAAATAAAATCGAACCGTGACCAAGCCATAATATAAAATCGATGTATTTTCTTATTTGGTCAGTTCACCTCAGAATGTGTACAACGAAAATCGAGAGTTGAATGATACTCCTTTTAAGTGAACTGCGTGTGATCCAACACAGAGCACCGAACACCTGTTTCGTTCTTGATGGGACTCATCAGTAGTGTGTTATTTTTGTGTATGTGCTAAGACGAGGGGCCGGAGCGCACACCTTGGTTCCTGAGCTATTTAGCGGATGGGTAACACGGGAACAAAAATGCATAAAACTTGTGTCTGCGAATTTGCATCGATTAAAAACAAGAACATATTCTGTTAAAGTGGATTGATCGATTGGTCCGCATTGAAAAGCCCTTCTTAAATTATTAGAATAAGTTTTGATCATTTGTTCTTCCGTCAAAAATGAAGTTGAAAATTGGCAACTTACTTTACCATCACTGATTGTTTGGACTGAATGGTAAAAAGTTTTCCGGAAATTTCAATACTACGAATATCATCACACTTGCGTATCACAGGCTAGAAACACTCCAACAACGACGGCCTCCAAAACTCCCATGGTGTGTGGTACTTTTGACGAAGCCTTAGAAAACTTCTTCAATCAAACCTACGGCCTGCAAAAGATTCGTCTGGAGTGGGCCTATGGGTTTTATGAGGGCCTGGCAAGACACAGTGATTATATCGCGTTGAATGAGTTGAAAAAGATCATAGATAACGAAGTAAGTCACTGTAAGTTGCAGTAAACAAATCGGCTTCAGATGGAAGAATCTTGTCACTGGCATTTGCAGCAGTGGCTTGAAAAAGTGAAAGAACTCTTGATTTTTTTGTCCGAGAGTGAAGGTATGTTTTGCATTACCACAACGTGGGATATTACCGATAATTTTCTTTCAGATAACCAGAGAACTAATCGTGCGTTCAAAGCGATAACCAAAGATACGCTGGAAAACGTGTTCATCTCAGTTGCGGGAGAACGGTTTGAGAATAAAGTGAATTTGTTGGTGGAATGCGCTCTCGAAGTTAGTGCTAGGGCACTCGCTGAAAGTAAGAAGGAGGCCGGACTGAACGATGGTGAGGTTCGCCTGTCGGCTGAACGAACAATGGAACAAAGTGAACCGTTGGAGAATGAGGGAAAAGTAAAACACAGTGAAGTGAACAATGTTGAAGATCTGTTCCGAACTGTGAGTTATCATAACACTTCATATCGCTTAAATGATAAACGACCACCTATGAATACTGTAGGCATTTCTCTAACTGTTGGGAGTGCCCAGATTATACGAAGTACAAAAGAGCACAGAATGAATCATCGAACACCTAACAAGGACTGAAATCTCTTTTCATGGGCTCCCTACCAGTGAATTGTTTAGTGGACTTGTTCGAGTAGATATGGTCTAAGTGACCCCTGAGAATCAACACAATCGACTGGGACACCGGCAGGCGTATTCATTTCATTCTTGATTGAATCCAGCCTGCGTCACATGGAACATAGCGTAAGCATTTTTGTTAATGGAATCAGTGCGAAAAACAACCGGTTTTTTAACCAAAGTAAATGCGTTTCGTAGAGGTTTACTGCCGGAGTCTTCGGTTGGCAGAAACTTTATCCGTAATGCGACAGAACGGATTATGGAACTGGCTATAAGATTGTGATTTCAGTATTACACCATGAGACATTTACACGCTCAATTTGGTGTTCATATATCTTCTCCGCGCAATCGTGATATTGTGAGTTATCAGTCGGGAGATATGACAATGAGTCGAAAAAGTACCTAACAGAACGTTCAGTGGTTGTCGAAAATACCCTTCTTCTAAGGCCCACGAGCGAGCCGAATTGAGCTATTACCTGGCTATGCATAATAATTTTTGACTGACGAAAAAAGATCACATACGGACATTATTAAGCGAGCAGTATGTTAACTGAAAAATATTTTGTTTCAATTCTTACTCTTAGGCTGGCCAACTCTATGCCCATCCAAATTAATTTTGTTTTTATCCATTTATATAATTCGTCTAGAACCGAATTCGACCTCCCGTGGGAACAATACGTAACTGTCTGCGTGCCCGTTTCCCTTATTCTTAACAATCTCTATGATTGAGCTACCCATAGCCAAACGTTAAATCTCAACTGACTTTGGTGATCAACCAACTGTCAAAACATTTTTATTCTGACCCATTTCAGATTTTAGTTGGTATAATCATTAACTTTCACAGTTTTGTTCACGGTCTTTCGGCTACCAGCTAAGGAGCAGAAAGCCCGAGAAAATATCAAGATAGGAATACAACATTCGCGTAAGCTAGATCTGCGTCGAAGATGAGTAGATGTGCGTGCGCAACTATTGGCAACGCTCAATCACATTACTCACCGCCCTCAGCCCTTGTACAGGCTGATCCCGGGGACACCAACTCAGTCTGCATAATCAAACCTCTTCTTCATACGTGGTATTCTCTTTACACTATACAGAACTATCTACCGTGTGAATTATAGATATCATTTCTGAAACAGCCCTATCCTCGTGCGAGGATAGCGGTATCGATTTACTCCCAGGTGGCCTTCTGTCTGATGTAGAGTATGCAGATGACATTGTGCTACTAAGTGAAGATCCAGGTAAGTTGCAAGCTTTTCTAGATAGTTTGAGTGCTAGTGTAGTCATGTTCGGTATGCATTTTGCACCTTCAAATTGTAAAATGCTGTTTCAAGATTGGGTGGGTCCATTCCCCAACCTCACACTGACCGGAATGCAGTTCAGTCCAGTGCAGTTTTTACAACCATCAATCATGCACTTTCGTGCACCGGTTTTGGTTGCCCATTTGGATACACGGGCAGAATGAGGATTGGAATGTTGAAAACCAATTCAAGCAGAAGATAGAGAATTCATACAGATTGGTGTTAGGAGAATAATGAATGGATGCATGAGCGCCGCCTTTTGCGACACACAACCATATCGCTCATTATCTCTAACCACCAGTGACCATCATCTCGCGGTCCCCAGCCAGGGAGCCTAACGGGACCTATGTGAGCCAGACTCCAGGTTAGGGTTTTCATACCCTCATGCCAGGTCTTATTTTGACCGCCCTTGATCTTTTTCCAACCGCTACCTGCCTCGGCAAACATCGCTCGCCATGGCAACCCATCTGGTGACATGCATAGCACATGTCCCAACCAGCGTAATCTATGAAGGTCGATCACTTGCTCCAGTGGGCGACGTCGATTACCTAAAACTCTACGCCTAACCTCAGCACTGCTCGTCCGGTTACCCCACCAGACTAGTGCAATGCGAT